TGTGTGGATATACCATAGTTCGTTTATCCATTCACCGGACAACCTTTTACCTCAGTAATGAAGTCACTCTGGAGGTTCACCCTTCAGCCAAAGATTAGACAGCCACATAAAACAAAATGAGGTTAATGGAGCACAACAGTCCAGAGACAAGGACTAGAAGGCAGGAGGGGACAGGAAAGCTGGTAATAGGGAACCTAAGGTTGAGAAAGGACAGTGTTGACATGTCGTGGGGTTGTTAACCATTGTCAGAAATCAATATGTGTACTGTTTAATGAGAGACTATTTGTTCTGTAAACCTTCATCTAAAGTACAATTAAAAAAAAAAAAAAGATTTACAGCATTGGAAACCCTATAGGGAAGTTCTATTCTGTCCTGCAGGGTTGCTATGAGTTAGAATTGACTCGATGGCAGTGGGCTTGGGGAAAAAAAAAAAAAAAGTCTACTCTTTGACCCAACCCATTTCACTTCAAGGAATTTAAGAAAATAACATAGCTGTACACAAAGATTTTTGTGTAAGAATGTTTGTAATAGTGAAAATTTAAAATAAGCTCAATGTCTAACAACAGGAAGTTGGTTAATTAAATTCATGTATTCATTCAGCAAATGTTTTGAGCACCTCTGTATGTGCCAGGCACTGTTCTTTGACTGCACAAAGTATCTCTTCATGGAGATTGTATCAGATGTGACATACCACACCACAGAAAACTGTAGTCACTAAAAGTTCTATTTTAGAAGAACATTTAAAGATATGGGGAAATACTTATTTAGGTGAGAAAATCCAATTCTAAAACCGTGCACGGTCACCTAATTTTGCACAAAATGTTTACATATTTTTAAAAAAAACTGGTAGGCTATATATACTAAAATGTCAATGGCAGTGAGATTATAGTTGACATTTATTTTATCTTTGCTTTTCTGTATTTCTGATTTTTTTTACATTGAAAAGTTACTTTTAGATTATTTTTTAAATAATAAATGTTGGCTTTTTTTAAAAGATAAAAAAATTACAAAAATTATAGTGTTGCGGGCTTGTCTCTCGTGCCTTACTTTTCAGGATATCATTGGTTTTGTTGGCGGTTCAAATTCACCCAGAGGTGCCTCGGAAGTAAGGACTGGCAATCTGCTTCCAAAAGGTCACAGCCTTGAAAATTCTAGGGAGTGCAGCTCTACTCTGCACACTTGGGGTCGCTATGAGTCAGAATCAACTTGACAACATTTAACAACAACAACAACAACATGTAGTCTCACCCAGGACAGAAATTTAGAAAGCCTCCTTTCTTACCAGTAAATATATAATCTTTACAACAAAAGCTTCCTGTATAAAAGGACATCTTGCCCATTCTTTATAACATGTTTCATAATAAAGATGCTCAATATTTATATGATGATGAAGTTACATTCTAGATCCTATTCATTTTCCATTTCTAATAGCACCATTTTATTAATTGCAATTATTTTCAATTCTCCTCTCAAAAGCAAATCAACTATTAACTCTGATTACAACTGGGTGTTTCAAACTATCATCTTGATTACAAGTAAGTGAATTGCATGCTGCAGTTGGAGATACTTTGCATATTTCAAAGACAGGAATAGAAATATGGCTGATGGTAGAAAGTAGAATGGAAGAATTTATACGTAAAAACCAAGACCCTATTTTGTTACTACCACCTATTTTAGTATTTTAAGGCTCTACATAGTCTTCAGTAGTTTCCTGTCTAGATAGAACTTTAGCATCTGCATAATATTTGCAAATGGCATGTAAGTATAAAGCATTGGGGCTGTTTTTAAATAAAAATAAAGGCATTGGTACAAAAAGAGTGCTGTTCTTCCTCCAAGCAGTTATTTTGGGAGGCTATAAACTTATTCTTACGGTGTCACTATTCGAACATTTTAAAATTATTGATCAGCTTATAAAAAATTCTAACTCATATTATTCCGGATACCAATGCATCCTAGGTGAGCATCTTTCTTATTTATAATTCCAGAGTTGTCGCCAAGTATGATCTGTGGCTATGGCTGTAAGGCTGGGCATTTTACTAGTTGGAAGCATTCACTCTATGTGTTAAAATACCTTTAAGAGATTTCTGTCTTCAGCCCCTGAAAGATCTATTGTTCTTTGTGACTGGTTCTTTCCTTTTGAACACTAAATAGTGCTTAAGCCCTGACCCAAATTTACGCCCTGACCCAGATTTGTCACAAGTCCTTTCTTACCCAAGTCTCCTTTTGTAGTTTGCCAGATGAGCATCGTGGAATGGGGTAAAGTCAGCTCTACCGTGTCTCTTAGTATCATGGCAGTCAGCACCAGGAAGGGCTTTAAGGGGGATAGAGCAGGACGTGGGAAAAGTCAACTGATGCCTTTCCTTTAGCATCTTATGATCTGGCCTCCACAGCTTCCCAGAATTCCTTCTAGCTTCCCCAAACTCCTCTGGGCCTTTCTAACTCACAGGCTGGGAAGAATCCCAAGTGAAAGACCTTGCCAAATTAACTCATTGAGAAGAAAAGCTACTTCCTGCTTAACTGTGCTTTTTTTTTCAGCAGAACACTTCTTCAGAAAATCTTTGGATATAAGAAGGAATAGAATTGCTATGGTGAAAACAGTCTTATCACTGTAGAAAAAAACAGAAACAACCTTAACAAAGGTTAACACTAACAAAGAAGATATGGTCTTGGTTTTTTTGTTCCCTTTTATTAAAGACTATTCACAGGACAAACATTTGTTTTCTTCAGAACGTAATAACTGTTAATTTACTTGAGTCACAAACAGCTCTCTCAGTCTAAGAGAAGGCTATGAAATAACAATAATGATCATAGCACTTAGCATGCGCCAGACACTGTTTTAAATGTATTTACATAATCATTTATGTCTCATAACTCTATGAGGTAGGTACGATTATCAGCACTTTATAGATGAAGAACCAGAATGCTCCTTAGAAGCAAGGATGGCAAGATTTTGTCTTGCTTACCTTGGAAATGTCATCAGGAAAGACCAATTGCTAGAAAAGGGCATCATGTTTGGTAAAGTGGAAGGTCAGTGAAAGCAGTCGCTGCAACAATGGGCTCAAACATACCAACCATTATGAGGATGGCACAGGACCGGGCTATGTTTTGTTCTGCTATACATAATGTTGCCAGCAGTCAGGGCTGACTCAACGGCAACTAACAGTAACAACATAGATGAGAAAACCGAGGCACAGAGATATTAGGTTAAGTAGCTTGCCCAAGTCATACAGCTAGCATGTGGCAGAGTCAGGGTTTAAACCCAGCAAGGGAGTCCAGAATCTGTGCTCACCACTATGCCACACTGACATGGTTACGAAAAAATTCTTGCCTTTTCATAGGCAATAGTTGGTCAATTAGTATACTAAAGTGCAGTTTTGTTTTGACCTAATTCTCCAATTTAAAAAGTAGGAAATTAAGGAATATACAGAGCCTGCAAACTCATTTACTTTTAGAAATGGGTCTAAGCAAAGAAGTCTTCCGAGAAGCTGGACTATATGATAAAGAATGCAGCATCAGGATTGGAGGAAGACTCATTAACAACCTGTGTTATGCAGATAACACAACCTTGCTTGCTGAAAGTGAAGAGGACTTGAAGCACCTACTGATGAAGATCAAAGACCACAGCCTTCAGTGTGGATTACACCTCAACATATAGAAAACAAAAATCCTCACAACTGGACCAATAAGCAAAATCATGATAAATGGAGAAAAGATTGAAGTTGTCAAGGATTTCGTTTTACTTGGATCCACAGTCAACACCCATGGAAACAGCAGTCAAGAAATCAAACAGCACATAGTATTGGGCAAAACTGCTGCAGAAGACCTCTATAGTGTTAAAAAGCAAAGATGTCACCTTGAAGACTAAGGTGCACCTGACCCAAGCCATGGTATTTTCAATCGCCCCATATGCATGTGAAAGCTGGACAGTGAATAAGAAGACCAAAGAATTGATGCATTTGAATTATGGTGTTGGTGAAGAACATCGAATATACCACAGACTGCCAGAAGAATGAACTGGAAGAAGTACAGCCAGAATGCTCCTTAGAAGCAAGGATGGCAAGACTTCATCTCACGTACTTCGGACATGTTATCAGGCAGGACCAGTCCCTGGAGAAGGACATCATGCTTGGTAAAGTAGAGGGTCAGCGAAAAGAGGAAGACCCTCAATGAGATGGACTGACACAGTGGCTGCAACAATGGGCTCAAGTATAATGACTGTGAGGATGGCGCAGGACCAGGCAGTGTTTCGTTCTGTTGTACACAGAGTCACTATGCATCAGAACTGACTCGATGGCACCTAACAACAAGCAAAGAACATGCTTTATGTACTTAAACAAGTCAAGTTCATGAACTGTTGTCAAAACTAGCTGATGGTCTCTAATAACAACATCTTTCTACCATGAAAAACATGGCAGTGTAGCTTTGTGAAGACTGTTTTTTTCCCCCGAGGGAAAGGGAATGAAGTCAAAGTTGAAACATACCCCTGGAGTTAGCTGAGAAAGAAATCTGAGAAGAATCTGGTGTGACTTGGTTTCCAAGTTTCTCATATTTAACCATGAAATTAAAATTAGGTATAGGTGTAGATTTTCATGGTCATAGCAGGTTAGTCAGTGAGTCCCAGAAAGCTCATGTAGTCTTCTTTCTACTCCTTTTAAAATGTCACCTTTTGAAGGCTTTAAGAAATATGACTGTTGATTAGACTTCATGCTCATTTATGTGAGTAGAAAGGGCAGGAAACATGGGCAAGAGCATTACAAGTCTGCAAATGAAACCAAATTTCTAAGACGTGATGATTTTGGTAAACTATTGTTAACTCAGGAAAGAAAGCAAAACTTCCTAACGTGAATTCTTTTAGTTTTGAGTTTTTTTTTCTTTCTTTCTTTTTTTTTAACTCAGAGTTCCACCCAAATGTTGCAGCATGAAATAGCTAGTAATAAACATTTTTTAATAATGGAAATAGTAAATGACTGAGATTTAGATGGTCAAGACACTCACATATATACGTTTATATATAAAGGATATTTAAAATGTAATGTTTATTAAGCTTTCCTGAAAAACAAGATTCTTTTATTTTAAATGACTATTTCAGTACATGAAAGGAATGGTCCCCAGTAAAGCAAAAGTAATATTTCCAAGAACAAGACTTTATTATCTCTAGTTCTGTATGTCTTTTCAGCCTCCAACGCCTGTCTTTACCACCATAACCAGCACAGAGTTGTTCAAAATAAAGTTTTAACTGAAACTGGACTATGGAGATGCAAAAACTGGAGTGAGATAAGTTTAAAACAAGCAAGTCAACACCAATAACCAAAAAAAAGTGTCCATCTTTCTGGTATATATCACTTACAAAATTAAAATTAAACCAAATGGTTACCATGTATGCACATTAGTGAATATTAGTATTTTACACTTCCATATGTGTGTATATAATAAACAAGTAAAAAGGTAAATTTTAAATTATTTTTATCTATGAAAAATATATAAAATGTGACTGATACATACTTCAACTTGAGTGCTTTTTCAATACTCAGTGATTAAAAATATTTGGGAAAAAATCCCAAAATATATTCTAAAAGAAGATATTAATAGTTAAAGAGTCAAGGAAATAATGAGGGTTTAATGTGATTAAGGAAAGGGGAGGAGGAAGTAAGCAGAAAGGTATACTTGTAGGCTGGAATCACATAATATAAACAAGATGTATAATTAGAAACGAAGGAGATACAGTTTTTCCCAAGGTCAATTTCACTAGAAATTGAACAGAACCACGGAAGCTTTAAAAGCCAAAACCAAGCCAGTTGCCATCCAGTCAATTCTGACTCATGGCGACCCCACGTGTGTCAGAGTAGAACTGTGCTACATAGGGTTTTCAGTGGCTGATTTTTCATAAGTAAATTGCCAGGCCTTTCTTCCAAGGTGCCTCTGGTGGACTCAAACCTCCAGCCATTCAGTTAGCACTTTCAGTTAGCAGCCCAGAGCGTTAACTGTTTGCACCAGCCAGGGACTCCAAGGAAGTTTTAGGACAGGTGCAGGAATTTAAGTTTTGCTAATGAGTTCACACTACTAGGGATGCAGAACTGACTTCCTCGCGAGTTTTCTTTGGTTTTGGACACAGACCTTGCCTACAGGAGGTCAAAACGTCAGTTCCTTATTTGGCTTCCCTTAAGAGGGCAAGAGTGCAACGTGTCATCTGATCACCTCACACAACGTAAGTAGGAGTTTGTCCTTACTGAAGAAACATCAACAGCATCAACATCTTTCCAAGCACAGCTGGCTTGGAATCTTGAACCTCACGCATCCTCTCTCTCGAAAGACTGAGGTCAGAAGCAGTCCCCTGAGCCTTGCCTTTGGCGGGTTTTCCCACTTGTGCTTCCAGCCTGCTCCCAGGGCTGGGGTAGCTTCACCCGCAGCTAGTTGACGCAGGGGCAGCAGCAGCAGCACAGGGTCCGACAGGGGTTCTTTTTCTTGTACTGCACGGCCTTGCGAACATGCGCCTTGGCCTGACCCACGTAGTCACAGGTCTCGAGCACGTTGAACTCGATGACGTTCAGCGTCTCGGCCTGCTCCTCCACCAGCCTGGCCATATGCAGGAAGAGCTCATGCAAGTCGCGGATGCGGCTCTCCAGCCGCAGCAGCTCACGGTGGCGATTTTCGATCTCATTGAGTGCCGCCCGTGCGCCCTTAACATCGGCCAGCAGGTTCTCGGAGAACACGTCCCACTTGCCCTGCTCGAACATGTCCTCGATCTGGTCACCCGAGACGTCCTTGCCCATGATCTCGAGCTGGCGCTGGATGCGGATCTTGCAGTTGGCGCACTGCTTCATCTCGGCCTGGTTGTATTCGTGCATGGCGTCCTGGAAAGCGCGAGTGAGTGCGTTGTAGTGCGCCCTCGAGATGCGCCCCACGGCCGAGTGCGCGCCGTGCTGGGCCTCGGCCTCCTCGCACAGTTTCTTCATGGTGAGCAGCTTGCGGTGGATGGCCTCGCCCCGCGCCTTGATGTCCTTGGCGATCGAGTTGGTGTCGCGCTTGATGCTGCTGAGGCGCCGCATGGACGTGAGGAAGCGGGTGTTCTGCTTCCCCAGCCGCTTCACGTCGGCCGTCAGCTGCTGGTTTTCATTCTGAAGGTTCTGGATGTCTCGGTACCAGGACTCCAGGATGTGGTCCGTCTCGAACACGATGTCCTCGTCGGGCGAGCCCACGTCGTCGTCCCCATCTGGGAACTGCTGGTCATAGTGCTTGGAATACTCCAGAAGTTCTGCTAGCCGGTCCTTCATTTTGCCTGCAAGTAGAGATACTGAGGTTATATCCCTCTAAACAAACAATCAAGAAAACCAAACCCGTTGCCGTTGAGTTGATTTCCAACTCATAGTGACCCTACATTCCTCTACTGAGCGTCAAATATTTGCATTCAGTGGATGGAAGCTTAAAATAAACGTCCTGCTCAGCACTTTCTTTATCCCTAGGTGTAGGTAGTAAGACACTGAAGGAGCTCAGTGCTCTATGCCTTTTTGCTTACCTGCAAAGGAGTAACATGACCAGAAAACATGAAGACAGTCATATTTTAAGCCTATGGGTACCTGCAGTTCCATACTATAGGTGCCCAGAACTCAGTCAGCAATTAAAAATTTGATTGCACTGAAGCGCAATCCCTTTTTCTTGCGTTAAGTTTTCCAATAATCGCAAATCAAAACAGACATATAAAAGTAAAAACAAGAAGACTTGCAAGGATAAGGGTTTTTAATAATAGTCATCTTACGAGGATTTGAGGCCAACACCAAGTACTCATTTCTATTTCAGCTCCAGTGAGTACCTTCAGTCGTCTTCGTAACTTTTAAAGCAGTTACCATATAAATCATAGGTTGCTTCATTATTGCCTTAACCTTTTTTCCTCTTAAAAATGTTAAAAAAGTAAAAAATGCTTGAGGTAAAACAACAACAAAATAAAGACAAAAATCCAACGAGGAAGTAGAATGTATACACTGAAATTCCCTTGCTCCCCTATTCCATTCCCTAGTGGTAGTACTGTTAAGATCACCGCTTATTTTATTTTACTGTGGTAAAAATATATGTATAACATAAAATTTGCCATCCTAACCATTTTTAACTACAATTCAGTGACATTAATTACATTCACAATGTAGTGCAACCATCACCACTATTTCCAAAACTTTTTATCACCCTAAACAGAAATTCAGTACCCATTAGGCAGTAAGTCCCCAGTCCATCCCTACCCTCAGCCCCTGGTACCACTAATAAAATTATAGGTATTTTATAAAGTGGGATCATACGATATTTGCCCTTTTTTGTCTGACTTATTTCACTAAGCATGATGTTTTCAAGGTTCATCAATGTTGTAGCATGTATCAGAACTTCATTTCTCTTTGTGGCTAATACTCAACTGTATGTATATATTTTGTTTATTCATTCTTCTGTTAATGGTTACTTGGGTTGCTTCCATTTTTTGGCTGTTGTGAAATAATGCTACAATAACATTGGTGTACAAGTATCTGAGTTTTTGCTTTCAGTTCTTTTGGGTATACACCTAGGAGTGGAATTGCTGGGTCATATGGTAATTCTATATTTAACTTTTGGAGGAACTACCAAACTGTTTTCCACAGTAGTTGTACCATTTTACATTCCCACTAGCAATGGACAAGGATTCCAATTTTTCCAAATCCTTGCCAATACTTGGTATTTTCAGGGTTTTTTTTTTTTTTTTTAAATAGACATCTTACTGGATATGAAGTAGTATCTCATTGTGGTTCTGATTTGCACTTCCCTAACTGCATTTTAAAAATGTATATGGAAAATTTCAAACATACACAAGGCTAGTAGCAATAATATAACCAACTCTAATTTACTCACCATGCAGCAGCAATATTTGCCCATTTTTAATATTTTGAAACAAGTTGGCAGCTCAAGAATTTTCATATTTTTATAAAAGTGGTTCTGATCACTTTTCTTGGCAAAGCAAAATAATGATCTCTATATACATACTTTTTCCAGTAAAGTGAAAAGCTTTCATTCCTAGTAGCATGTATATATGACAAAATATTGAACATTTTACCCTTCCTTTGTGTCTGGAAAGATTCTCTTTCTACAATATAATTTGCACACAAAAGGGGCGGAGGGGGGGAGCAGTAACACTTAATGGCTACTCAGTTTATCAGGGATCTTGATCTCAAAAGTTTCTCTAAAGTTGAAGTAATTTATTAAGATGGATTTAATGACTAATGGAAATGGTGAAATATTAACCATGTTCTCTCATCTGCCATGATCATTAACACAAATTAAGCAGAAGTCTCATTCCATGATTCGATTTTTAATATAACAAGTTATCCTACTGAAAATGCCACTTTTGCTATCTCTTGAAAGCAGGAAGTCAACACCAGACCTTCTAAACAAAGAAGGAGGTTACTGTATTGGCAGTGTGACTGAGAGGCAGGAAAAAGATCTAGCCTATCCCTTGACCTGAATTTCCTGATATTCAGTATTTCCTCACTTTGACAAAAGTTAAAAGACAAACCACAAATTGAAGAGAAACTGTAATATATGGTAGGTAATGGCAAACATTTTTAATATATAACAAATTCTTACAAAAACAACAACAACAAAGTACTCTCTCAATCAAAGAAAATGAAAAGGCAATTCATATAAGGAGAATGTAAGTGCCAGAGAACATAACAGTACCTAATATGTAATGTATGAGGCACTTACTGTAGCCAGGTACTTTCTAGGCACTTTTCATGTGATACCATCTTTAATCTTCATATGGACTCTGATGTACTGTCATTATCAAAGTTGGTAAGTGAGTCATAGGGAGGTTGAGGAACTTACTCAAGGTCACCAGTAAGTGAACAGTTGGAGTCCAGAGAAGCCCCTCTTAACCATTTCACTAAATTAGTGGAACGATGAAAAGATTTTTAACTTCATTATTAAACAAGGAAATACAATTAAGCCACTGAGAATTTTTTCACACTAATTTTTTTTTTAATTATAATTTTTAAAATTTGGCAAGTATTCTGGGAATTCTCAAAAAATGCTGGTAGGAGGGTAAATTGTTAGGGCCTTTCTGGAGGACAGTTTAGCAATATGTATAAGAGCTTTTAAAACTTGCATTTGCATATGGTCTTAGTTATCCAGTGCTGCTATAAGTGGATGGCTTTAACAAACAAATTTCTTTTCTCACAGCTTAGGAGGCTAGAAGTTCGAATTCAGAGCACCGACTCTAGGGGAAGTCTTTCTATCTCTGTTAGTTCTGGAAGAAGGTCCTTGTCTTTTCAGCTTCTGCTTCCTGGTTCCCTGGAGATCTTCATGTGTCTTGGCATCTATCCTTACCCCATCTCTCCTCTGCTCCCGTGCTTGTTTAATCTCTTTTATATCTCAAAAGAGATTGACTCAAGATACACTGTACACTAATCCTGTCTCATTAACATAACAAAGACAATACATACCCAAATCAGATGATAACCACAGGACTAGGGGTTAGGATTTACAACACATATTTTTAGGGGACACAATTCAATCCATAACATTCCACCCTTTGGCTCCCCAAAATTCATGTCCTTGCCACATGCAAAACACATTCACTCCATCACATCATCCCAAAAGTTTTAAATCCACTCCAAGTCCAAAATCTCATCTTCTGAATCACCTAAATCAAAAACGGATGAGACTCTGGGCGTATTCTATCCTGGGGCAAAATTCCTCTTCATCTGTCAACCTGTGAAATCTAGGATGCAGGTTATCTGTCTCCAAAGTATACTGGTAGAAGAGGCACAAGGCAGACATTTCTATTACTAACAGGAGAAACTGGAGGGAAAGAAGAGATAATAGGCACCAAGCAAGTCCAAATTTCAGGAGAACAATTTACATTAGCTCTCAAGGTTTGAAAATAACCCTCTGTTCTTTGGGACTGTCTGGGCAAGGGCCCTGCCCTCAAGGCTCTGGATGTTGGCTACACCCTCTGGATTCTCCGTGGCAGCCACTCAGCCCTAGGCTTCAGCTCCACCTTCCAGGCCTACTGGGACAGCAAATCAGCTCCCTCAGCTTTAGGCGGTCCCATTCTCCTAGTACATCTGAGCGGCCAGCAGGCCCCATTCTTCTGCCCCTTAGGCATGGCAGTGGCCCCATCCCCCTAGCATAGTTTAATGGCAGCCCCACACTCCAGCACAGAGTTGGTGAAGACCCACCTCTTTGAAAAGTAGGAGGCTGTGGACCCACCCTTTGAAACCAAGAATGTCCTGCTTCCTGTGCTCCTTCCACCAGTTCTGCTGATCTCCGAGTTGCTCCAGGGATGGTCCTCTTCTTTTCTTGGAGGATAACAGATGTAGCCCTTTTGGCCTGTTTCCTGTCTGTAGAATTCCAAGAGACAGACAGCATTCTTTCCTTTCGTTCTTTCTTTGTCCCCTTCAGTCTAAGCTGATGGGTCTTCAGCTGTGGTAGCTGGTTAGATCCATCAGTCACAGGCTTAATCTCTTTAACAAAGATTGCATAGCCACATCCTTGGTGAAAATCCAAGACAAGTGCCCTCAGTCTGTACAACAGATTTTTTTTTAATTGTAATTTTTTTTTAAATTGGAAAACAAATATACAACTTGGAATGGATTCAAGGTAATTTGTTCCATAAGCAGATTTTCTTTAAGTGGCTGAACAAAGTTTAAAAAGCAAGTAACAATAAAAGAAAACTTATCTGGAACAGACCAACAGTACAAAAAAATAGGGTACAAGTACCTGAATCATACACCCGTCTTATAATGGTGCAACTTTAAGTACATATTGTTGACTGTCCATAGTCCATGCTGAGTTACAACTCTACACTTCAACAACAACATGCTGACAGTTCCTAAAGAAAACTACTTTTTAAAAAAGGCATGATCCATTTGATCACCTCCATCTAAGTTTAGATGGGAAGAAAGGCGTAGATATATCCAGAGTAAGCCACATGCAAAATATTACTTGATCAGTTTTCTAAAATAAGGGTTCAGGACAATGACAGTAAGATAAGGGAAGAAAACATGGAGGAATGAAGCCCTGATTACTATACATCCATACTCTTTTGATAGCAGGGGGAAACCTTTTACAGATAAGTTACAAACAAAGAAAAGGCAAACAATTTCGTACAAGAAATTTAACACATTCTGTACAATGTCTTCACTTTGCTGTCATCATTTGTACAAACTCTTCATAGTTTACTTGACCATCACCATCAATATCTTCTTCCCTGATCATTTCATCAACTTCTTCATCTATTAACTTCTCTCCAAGATTTGTCATCAC